CCCACCCCTCCCCAACCCCCCCCCAGCCCCCCCGCCCCCCCCGCCCCCTTTACCAATCCCACCGCCAACACCACCACCTTTACCAAATCCACCACCAGCACCACCACCAATCCCATGCCCCCCACCTAATCCTCCACCTCCACCACTGCCACCTCCAAAGCCGCCGCCACCTCCAGCTCCGCCACCAGCACCAGCACCAAACCCACCGCCAGCCCCACCGCCAGCACCTCCACCAGCGCCGCCTCCAAAACCACCACCTCCACCTGCTCCACCTCCACCTCCACCTCCACTGCCAAACCCACCTCCTCCACCAAATCCCCCTCCCTGCCCAACAGCTAAGTTCTTTTCCTCCTCATCATGCTCCACACTCACTACATTCCTTGCAAGCACACTCACTGCAAGGATTTGAATGCAAAACAAAGAAAACAAAGCAAGCCTCCCAGCGCTTCCCATGTTCAAAATATTCTTTTACAAGGCTGCCCTAAATTCTGAGAGCTACAAGAGATGATAGAGGGTTTTTTATACTGGATTCTGGAGCATGCATATGTCCATTTTGCTTTTGCATTAAATCGGTCTCAACAACTAACTGGTCGCTACATTTAATTACAAATGCACCCCACAATTATCAGCTCGGGTACGGTTGTAACTTATACCTGTGGTTTCAGCTGACGAAAACACTAAACAGGAAAATAGTAGCTAGGGCATATCTAAATGCACCCACTTGCTCCCACATGGCTACTTATGTTTGCTTGACAGGAAGTTCTTCCGTCCTGTCACATTACAAACTGGAAGAAGATATTGATTTCATGACTATGTTACTTTCGGCTAATTAGCAAGATTGGTTTGGACATAACAAAAAGATTAAAAATTGGACATTCACTGGGGAAATTCACCAGTTACAGCAGGTTTTTGCTACTGCAAGGACCACCAAGGTGATATATGAGAACATTTTGTATGAACCATTCAATGCAAATCAAGGTCACTCGAAACGGCTCCAGGCGCGTACATCCCATAGTAGAATGTATGCTACAATACTTTCATCTGCCTCAGATCAATTTAAAAAATTTGGCTTATATCACGTAATGAGAACAAAAAGATAAGTGATTTTCTATTATCTACATTGCAAACATTAATTTGGTGCATATAGTTTTTAGTTTCAGGCATAGTGATGAAGACTTAATGAAAATATGCTCTGTCAATGACTTACGAGAAAAGAAACCTTTCAAGATTTTTGGATCTTTAGCTATAATTTTAAGATGTACATAAAAATGCATTTCTGTAGAAATTAAACGAAGAAAAAAAAGTTGTTATTTTGGAGATCCAACTAACTAGTTGTCTCAATGGTTCTTTGCTAACTGTGCCATGTGCTATGTAGATGAAGAATTTATTGCCTGTTGAAAACTTGCTCTTCCTGTCTTGCTCGCATTTAAATTCTCATCAAACAAAGTATGCATTGAAAAATGTCATACAATCTAAATTCTCGCCTCATGAAAGAAAGCTGAAAAAAGAAGCTGGATCGTGAATTAATGTGTTTTGGTCCCTTCGAAACTATTCTGATGACTCGTTATATCTTCTCTGTCGACGGTGTGAAGTGAGGTGGGCACACTTCAAAAATATGAATGTCATGTCTTGTTGAGATATTCTTCTTTTCTTAATAACAATAGTAAATTTGGCTTACACCCTTTAAATTCAACTTACCTTACCTGTAACTCTTCACTTTTTGTTCATATAAATAATACCCAATTTTTACAAGTAAAAACCCATGATTAGGATCCAACTCATCAAGTTATCTTATTAAACTCAATATCTGATTTATTATAATTTTTTGATTGCCAAAATACCCCTATTTATTTTTCAATGTGTAATGGGGTGATGTTTTAATTTTTGGTTCCCCAATTTATTGTGGTGATTCCCTCTAAAAATTTTGTCTGCAATTAATTATCCATTTTATTATTAAAATTCATTAATATAGTCAACAATTTGTTGGCCCAAAAGTCTGTTTTCCTTATTGCCTTTTTGAAATTTTGTTTCATCTTTCCCGAATAATAATTACCTATTTTTGAACTTGGATTTCATTTATTGTACCAACTTTTTTCATCGATAATAATCTACCTATTTTTTAATTATAAATTATTGTGTACCTATTTTTCTGTAATAATCTACCTATTTTTTTTTA